CCCTAAACCCTAAACCCTAGCAGGTCAGACAAGGGGTCAGACAAGGGCAACCGACGATGCTGCTGCAGGTCTGCCGCCAAGGCAAGCAAGGACGTAGTTCCGCTGCTCTTCTGCAGCATCTCGCTGTCTATGGTTTAGGGTTTAGGGTTTAGGGTGGTTTAGGGTTTAGGGTTTAGGGTTTAGGGTATGAATTTCTGTCGCACATGTCAGCATCAACTGCACTTTGCACTGCCTCCCTCCAGCTCACGGGCGAGGCCCTACCCACAGCAGCCATCACGCAGCGCAGAGGAGGCACAAACCGATGTGCCTGCACATGGTTTCCAAATACTAGCGCTACTGGCGAGGCAACGGCTGCGGAAACGAGGAAAGCTTGGGTTTTGGGTTTAGGGGTTTAGGGTTTAGGGTTGTGCAATCCTAAACTTTCCAAGACTTTTATTGGCACGTCAGCTGCTGGAGAAGCTCTCAGATGCTATCGGGGCAACTCTGGGTCGGCGAGGGATAACGTCTCAAAGTGCAGTCTGAAAGCTCATTCAAGACTGAAAAGAAATGGAATATGAACCAACAGTCATGCAAATCTACCAGGGTAATCTCGAATCTCCACCTCAACACCTCAACACATCAAGACTAACCCTGATCATATCACGGATCGAGACTCCAGGACAAAGCATTCTGCCTCTTTTGCGCAGCGCACACTTGTGGTCCACCGGCGTCCGGGCTCATGATAAGCATCATGAAACTAGTGTTGACCTTCGTCCTGCTTCTTTTCATAGGAATGGCAACTACGGTCCCCGCTGCTGAAACAAGAGAAACCTCAAAACCCCAAAGCTCCAAGACCCTGAACCCCAAACCCCCGAAGAAAAACCGATGTGCGAAAAAAACCCAATGCCCGAAACCAACCCGCGAAGACTTCAACATGGGATCTTTGCCACTACACATCCCTAAATTGCGCTCTGCCGCCCGTAACAACGGGCTCATCGGTCCCTGTCCGGATCTCCCGACGCTTCTGCTCCTTTTTTTGGGGGGGAGGTTTCAGAGTGTCGTGCTTGGGGAGCTTAGGGTTTAGGGTTTAATTAGGGGGGTTTATAGAAGGGGGTGTAGAGTGCAGGGTATAGGCTATAGGGGGTTTTAGGATGTTTTAGGGTTTTGGGGGTTTTCAGGGTTCAGGCTTTAGGCTCCATTCAGGCCCTGGGGCTGGGAGGACTTAAGTTCCGGATGTGGGGCCTATCGTTTGGGGGGAGGGGGCTTAGGATTTAGGGTTTAGGGTTTAAGGTTCAGGGTTTAGGGTTTAGGGTTTAGGGTTTAGGGTTTAGGGCCTATCGTTTGGGGGGAGGGGACTCCGTCCTCACTGCTGGAGGCGGGAGCTCCTGTGAGACTCTTAAGAAGAAGATGAACGCGAATCACCAATTCTAGGATTATATAATAACAGAAACTATGATACTAAATCAATTGCGATACTCGTTAGAGTACGGAAAAGAATCATAAGACCAACAGTATGACAGTAACCTTCTCATTAGCAATAAGATGCGTCGGATTCGAAAAATGTCCTGCGCGACGAACTCCAAGTTCAGGTGGTTGCCCTGGCGATAGCTTTCCGCCACCTGTACGCAGCAGCACATCAAAAAGTGCCTTCACAAACCCCCGAACAGGGAACCCGAACCTTCATAAAAGTCGTGAAATACGACGTGGAGTCACGTTGACTCCAAGGAAAGAAATAAGCTGCACCGGCTGTGATGCACATACTAAGAAGAAGGAAGACATTTCAGTGCCCGGGAAGATGCTCCGGAAAGACCCGAAGGCTCCGCAAGCAGAACAAGCCGAACAGGGTCTTAGGGTTTAGGGTTTAGGGGTTTAGGGTTTAGCATTTAGGGTTTAGGGTTTAGGTATTTTTATGCAAGGACGATCAGGGGATGGCATTGCGAATTGTCCAGGCCGGATCTACATTAGAAGCCCAAAAGTTGGAAACCCAATAGCTCAATCCTTAAGTAAGGAGTAATGTATTGGGAATCCCAGCACTCACTATCCTTAATCCGGTCTCCAACATTTCGGGATTTACTATAGAATCTAGAAAGCCCAAAAGAAAAGCTCTCAATCGCCTGGAGCCGAACTATCGTATCAGTTGCAGGGCCAGGGCAAGCTTTCGCAAGTAGAGCTCAGAAGTGGACTCGACAGACCTACCCCTGCTGTGACTTAGGGTTTAGGGTTTAGGGTTTTAGGGGTTCAGTTGCAAAACCCACCATCAGGCAACTGGAACCCGTCTACTCCAACCGACTTCTACCGGATCCTAGAGCAGGTATCCTGGCGGTTCGTGAGATCGCAAAGGGCCCACCAAAAGCCCTTCGTAGAAGTTGCAGAAGCGTCTCGGCTGCTCTATCCTACGAGGAAGAAGCCTGCAACCTACCCCCCTTTCTCGGTTTGCACTATCAGCCCAAGACCTTCGGGCTGGAACCTCTGAACCGGGAAGAGCTCTTTAAACGGCTTAGGGTCTAGTTTCTTGGTACAAGCTGGTGCTCAGCTTGTGTCGGGCTATGAACTTTGTTCTGAGGGCAGTCCCCCAGAGAACTATGGGGAGGTATGGTCTGTCTCTATGGCTATTCTACCTGCCTTAAATGGAATTGCTCCTCGGAAAACCATCAGATGACTTCCGCAATATCATCCCGAGATCCTGGTCTCCTTGACTCGCCAATCGCAAGTCCAGCGATGAGAACCCTGATGACTCCGTAAACGGCAATACACCACTCTCCCCCCCCCCCACCTCAACAAAAAACCGTAAAAACTGTACGGAACCCCCAACTTCGATGTTTCTGATCCACGGAAACCCTAAACCGTAAAAGGGAAGCCCACCTCTGTCTTCCGCTTAACACCAGTTGCCATCCGCAGCCCGGCTTGAAGCCATGCCGAAGGGGGGCACCTAAGAGCGCATTGGATGAGAACTTCTGGTGGGATGAAGCTAATGCTGGTTTAGAGATTTAGGGCGGCGGTGGGTTATGACAGCTGAAACCATGGTTGCGAAGTAGTAGTTTGGACGTGTGTTACGAAGAATCATCGTGGATTGAGGGTTGGGGCCAAACCGCCCTGCATTCCTTGACTCCGAAAGCTCGGTCAATGCAGAACGGTAAACCAGTTGACCAACAAGCCCCTTCATAGGCCTCATACCGAGAGGAGGTTCATTGATCAGGGGTCGAATTACGTTGCCTCTGCCTCCAAGCCAAGCCCCGAGCCCGAAATCCTAAGCACGGGGCAGGGTGCTCTCCAAATCTGGAACGACAAATACGAAAGGCAAATGACAACGACTCCTCAGTTCGGCAGTAGTTCTCTTGATCGTCCTCCCAACAAGCGCAGTCCACAATGACGGGTGATTGATGAGGACCTGAGCACTCTTCCTGGTCATCGCCATCATCATCAGCAACATCACCATCCTCGTCTTCATCGTCGCCAGCGCCAAAATAACCCCCATCATCACGTTCACCGTGCTCCTCATCATTATGAGAATCACCTTCCTCTTATCCAGATCCACAGTAACCCTAAACCCCTAAACCCTAAACCCTAAACCCTAAACTCAATAGCAGCGAGGCGCCCATCTCTTGGCCAACTCGTGCGCTGCCCGCATGGTCTGCGACTCTTGCACGTAGTGGAAGCTGATGGGGCACTCCTGGGAATGCCGAGACCCCATACCGCTTAATTAAGGAATATACCTTTAATTGCAAGGGGCTTCATATTAAGATTTAAGCTACATTCCTTAATTAAGGGTATTGGGCTCTCTGCGGGCGTTAGTTGAATGAAGCTCGTTGAGCAAGACATGTCTCGGTTGTCTCCGATGAGTTTGAACCTTTTCACACATTAAGCTGAACACTTTCAACAGCAAACTCCCAGGAACTTGAAAGAAATTCATCGAAGATGCTTCTCTGGGCACAGAGAAGAGGAGACTCATGTCTCCTTAGCTGAAAACCTATGTTGCTAGGACTACCTGGGGAATCCGATCTCTGTGGTTTTCCGTTTTTCTAGTTTGGCTCCGCTTTTTCTATCTTGTTCTAGCCAGTGCTTCCTACCTTTTCCTAGATTTCCCTTGCTTTGTTTGGGATGCAGTGGAGCAAGCGCCTTGCTTTGTGAGGAATTACGCTGTGCTTCTAGATATTGAGGCAAGAAATTTGATGGCTTTATTCTAGCTTTCCTTGGTTTGCGTAACTTTAACATAGCTGCTCATCTGCTTTCATAGCTTTCCCTGGTTTCCGGGAAATTCCAGATGTTTCTGGATCTTTCCCCAGCTGGAAAAGTATAACCGCCTTGTTTAGCGTAGTACCTAATGCGCCTGCTCGACTTCAGAGACAAGACAAAAACATCGCCGCGTCATGATTAGAATAGGGTTTTGGGGGGATATACTGTACCAGAACTATGATAAGGAAACCCTAGGGAATAATACTGGTAATTTCGCAGGCAAGAGCTACCATAAGTTTATAGGAGCAACTTCATGGGTTGATAGAAGGGGTTGCTGTAAAGGGCACAGTATCAGCTCGCGAAGCTTCGACGCACCATGCTCCAAGGAAGGAGTCAGGGGAAACCCTAAACCCTAAAC